TCGTGATCTGCAAACTATTAATCCCTCCCATCTATAAATATAGGCTTGTTTCTTTTTTTTTGCACACAAATTAAGAAAACTTAATTAATATATGATAGAACTATAAATTTTATGTACTTTTTTCCTAACTTACTCTTACATTGAAAAATGGTAGTTCATATTTGTTAGTACCAAAACAAATTAAATGGGTGTATTAGAAAAGTAAAACATTAATTATACTATCAACAAGAAAAGTGACCTAAAATTTGGAGCCAAAAAAAGAAAAGTAAGGGGGGTGTATTTAATCGAGACTTTTAAAGACTTTTAGAGATTTAAAAAGTTTGGGTGTATTCAATTGAAACTTTTAGAGACTCTCTAAAAGTTTGGGTGTATTCAATAGAGACTTTTATAGACTTTTAAAAAGTCTCCAGATGTTACAGGGTATTCAATTGAAACTTTTTAGAAGTCTCTACAAGTTTTGGGGTATTCAATTTAGAGGGACTTTCAGAGAATTTAAAATTTCTTGGACTTTCAGAGACTTTTTAATAGAAAATATAAATAGGATTTTTCTCCCAAAATCTCTCATCCATAGATAGATTTCTAAAAAGAGTATGCTATTCTTATTTCCCTCTAGGTTTTTCCTCTATCTCTTCCAATTAGGTATTTCTTTGAATCTTTGCTATGAGTTTTCTTCAAATCAAGTTATGGTAAATTTTCACTAGTTGATCTCTATCTCTCCCTCTAATTTCAAAGATTCGTTTTTAAGTGAATGTTGTGAATTCTCATAAATATTCCTTGATATCTCACATTTAACACTGTGAAAAGCATATTTCCTTAAAAAAAAAAAATCCTCAAAAGTCTTCAAAAGTTTTTAGTAAAAGTCTCCACAAATCCAGGAAAAACTTTTACTAATTTCTACCAAATCCATAAAAATTACTTAAAATTTCACAAAGTCCACAAAAGTCACCCACTTAAAAAAGTCTCCAAAAATTTTTAAAAATCCCAATTGAATACACCCCCCTAAGTCTATCTCTGTGGGATAGAGATAGTGCTAGCTTTTCTTTAAACAACAGACTTAAGAAAAAGACAGTTTTAGAGAATGAGACAATGAAAAGGAGCCACAAATAGAATACAGTAATTTGTGTAGTCAATGGTCGATTCCATGTATAGTAGTATATCTAGCCACTCAATCTGGTGGCAAAACTCTTCGATTGGATCACCCAGATGCAAAAATTAAAGTTGCTATTTGCTTGGATCATATTTACAACACTTCACCTTGATTTAGCAAATTGATTTTCCTTATCATTCTTTATGGTAATCAATAAAATTGCTTTGGTAATGCAAAAATTACACATTCCCAATACGTAGGGCTCTTTTGACAAGGTCTCTACTTTTTGAAGAACTTACTTTGAAAGTTACCTAAGATCAATTTCCATGCAAAAATTACCCATTCCCAATATTTAGTGCCCTGTCGACAAAGTCTCTACTTTTACTTCTACTTTTTGTAAAACTCACTTTGGAAGTTATTTAAGATCAACTTCCCGCTAAAAATTCTTTAAGCCTGACAAACTATTTTGAGAAAATTATCCAAATATATTCAAAATGATCTCTGAATATCATAAACAAATTTTAATTTTTCAAAAATCCATTCAAAATATTAATATATATAACTTAAACTTATTAATAGGTATTACCTTAGTCCTCATATCAAGAGAATTCAATTCAATTGAGATCTTCCTAAAATAATTTCACTAGATGTTACAGTAACTCTGACAAAATGGTATTTGACATCCACATGTTTAGACCTCACACGACGTACTAGATTCTATTTTCTAGTGCATCTAACTGCTCTACTAAAATTCTTAGTTATATTCGGTTATGTAAGTATCGAAACAAAATCATAACTAAAAATAAAAAAAAAAATATTCTTTTATTAAAATGGAGTCCACATAGGAGCCTGAAAAATATTCATAATCAACGCAACTACGATGATAAGTGAAACAAAATCATAACTTTCAAGCCTAGAAAATAGATCTAGTAGGTGGCTTGATCTGCCTTCTTTGCCTCTTTCTTGTTAGCTAATACTTAACAAGGCAAAACGTTTCAGTATCAGGAGGATTTTCATCTTATTTAGCCTTAGTGCCAAGTATTGTTTTCTTCTCTACCTCTTCGAAGTTCTTCATTTTCTAAACGAGGAGTCTCCACCTCAATCTCAACATTATTTTCTTGCTAGCTTTTAGTATTTACTTCAAGAAAAGGCATTTATGATTCATTAAGTACTACATCCCTCCTATTATGTACCCTTTTACATGTTTCTCATATCCAAAGAAGATAAACTTAAGTAATCTAAGTTTCAATTTACCAATATTTTTTGATGTACATAAGATACACACTGAAGAACTCTTAGGCGATAATATTAATAACATAATCAATCATAGCTTTTAGGAAAAAATGGCACTTGGGATAAAAAATTAAAAATGAAACAAATAATTGGATTTAGAAATTGGTTGGGTTGGATCAAGCTAGTTAGGCTAGGGCTTGAGAGATGAAATATCAATCAATCACCTAATTAGTTACGGCAATTAGGGCTTTGAAGGAGAGAAATGGGTCGAGCAAAAGGGCTATAGCTAAGTACATAGAAACTCAGTACTCGAACCTGCCACCCACTCATTCGTCGCTGTTGACTAAGCATCTGAAACGGTTGAAGAACAGTGGCCAGGTTCTCATGGTAAAGAACTCTTACAAGCTTCCTAGATCTACTACCGTATCTGTTATTCTTGGTCTAGAATCGAGAACCGAACCGTACCGTCGATTTTTGATTCAAATACCCGTTCGAGTATTTAACTTGAGAAGAACTGTCGGATTCGATTCATTCGGTTCGGTTCGAGAGTTTTGCCCAACCCTGTGAACAGATTTTAATAAGGCCAAAGGGTATAATTGGAATTTTGACGGCCTGGTCGTCCACCCAAGAATGCTCAAGCTGCTGTGCCGAATGTTATACCTGTTTTTGCTCCTGAAACGCAGCAGGCTGTGCCAATTGTTGTTCCCGGGACTGAATTGAACAGGGCAATTGGGCCAGGGAGTGTGTACGTTCCAGTTGGGTCTGTAAATGGTGATGATTCTGGTGCTGGAGATGTAAAGAAAAAAGTCCACGGTCGTCCGCCTAAGCTGGGTGTGGCGAACCAAGGTGGGCTAAAGAAGGGACGTGGTCGTCCACCAAAGAGTTTGGGGGCTCAGCCACGTGGTGTTCAGAGGCCCAGAGGAAGGCCCAAGAGGGATTCTTCTTCTTCTGCTGTTGTGACTGGAATGACTGCTCGAGGACAGCCAAAGAAGACGGTTGCAGCTGCTGGTATGGTGAAAGGGTCTGGGAGGCCACGTGGAAGGCCTCCAAAGCCTAAGGATGTGGTGGCTGGAGTTGCTCAACCTGTGGTAGTTGGTGGGATTGTGGCAACTGTTTCTGTTGGGATGCCTACTGGTGCTACATTAGCGGTGGGTTCTGGAGGAGTTTCACCGGCTGCACAGAAGCGACCACCTCTTAATTATCATCTTCACCACGATCTTCCTCTTCGCATTTCCAAGCTTTGATGTACCTCTAGTCACCCTATTATCGAACCCATCTTTGGACTCAACCGAACATTTTCTGCATGGGAAAGGTCAATGCCAACACACTATGTACAACCCATCAAAAATGTTTTTCTTGTTTGTTGAAATAAAATGGAAGGAATTTTGGAGAAGAAAATGGTGGCGAAGGTGGTAATGGCTATGGGTTTGGTAGCAGTTGGGAGTTGTTCTAGTATTAGCATTCATCGGGGTTTCTATTTCTGGTTTCGTTTTGTAGTGAGTGTTAGGGGTGGGGGTGCGAGAGGGAAAAAGAATAAGATGATTTTTCTTTTCTTTTTTGATTTTGTAATTTAATTTATTTGAGATTTATTTGTACTTTTTAAAAAAATGGAAGTATGATTACAATTTGTTCTTTATTTTCCTTTCTCTCTTGTTTTATTTGGATATGAAGATATATTTGTCATTTGATAAATTTTAATTGAAAACTTCAATAAAAGTTGATGAAAAGGATTTTTTCCCAATGAAACATGGAAATTGGGGTAAAAATGCAAATTTGAAATGTAAAGACGTTTAACACACTAACGGTCAAATGTAGGGATATTTTGTTTTAATAAGCCTAAAAATTGAAAATTTAAGATACAATCATACTAAATGCACACCACTTTTATATTGTGCCATGTGGCAACATATCATCGAACAATTTAAAAATAAAAATAAAAATTCGCCAATCAAATCATGTCAATTTGGATGATGTCAAAAGTGATGCACATTTTTTATGTACAAATGACTTAACTATTTAAGATAATGGATTGAAATAAAAGCCACATGTTATTTTTCGTTCACTTTTGCATTACATGAATGATTTTGTTATAACATTGAGCCTCTTTTTTGTTTAATTAAATATTTGATACTTAGTAGTTTTTAATAAAAATTAAAAAAAATGTGTAGTTGAAAAGTTACGAATTCACGTGTAGAATTACTTATTGAAAAATGTGTAATTTAAAATGAATTTAAGAAAAATGATTTTTAGAAATTGATGTTCAAATAGAAGTTGAATAGCATTTTAAATTTTCTTTAAACGAATAAAAAACTGTTGGAGAATTTGCTCAATTAAGCTAATAGAATAGAGCCCGACCACTAATATTAAATTTTGGAAAAAATATATTTGAAATAGTAATTTTTTTTGGGAGAATGTATGATTTGACAAAATGAAAAGTTTTAAATTTATATATAATATTATTTTATTGAAAAATATATGATTAAAAATAAAAAAAAAAATATTCTTTTATTAAAATGGAGTCCACATAGGAGCCTGAAAAATATTCATAATCAACGCAACTACGATGATAAGAGCATTTTGAAATTTCAAAACCTAATTAAAAGATTTAAACCCTTCAAATTCGACTCGATTTTCAAAAAACATTGCAATAAATGCAACAAACTCCCATTAAACAAATGGCAGATAAATACACTCACCTCACTCATCCCAATCCAAATAGTCCCCTCCTCTGCCTCTTCCCTATCACTTTTCAATTTCTGTCTCTACATATACATACAGTCGTACAGATAATTTTCTTTTTTCATGTATATGCATGGAGCCATCAATGGATCCACCACCTCCAACTATTGACTCGACTGGTGAAGCCCACATCGCTCCTGCAGCGAACCCAACTCCAATTAAAGCTCCCGCCGTCAACCATCCACCTTATGCTGAGGTACGATTAACTGGAAACCGCCTTTTGTTTAATTTTTCTTAATTTGCAAGTCTTTGTGTTTAATTTAGCTGTTTCATTTTTGTCGTTTGGGTAGATGATAAAGGCGGCAATTAGGGCTTTGAAGGAGAGAAATGGGTCGAGCAAAAGGGCTATAGCTAAGTACATAGAAACTCAGTACTCGAACCTGCCACCCACTCATTCGTCGCTGTTGACTAAGCATCTGAAACGGTTGAAGAACAGTGGCCAGGTTCTCATGGTAAAGAACTCTTACAAGCTTCCTAGATCTACTACCGTATCTGTTACTGCCAATGTAAATGGTAATTCCATTTCTGGTCCTGCTACTGTTGGGCCCAAAAGACGGCCTGGTCGTCCACCCAAGAATGCTCAAGCTGCTGTGCCGAATGTTATACCTGTTTTTGCTCCTGAAACGCAGCAGGCTGTGCCAATTGTTGTTCCCGGGACTGAATTGAACAGGGCAATTGGGCCAGGGAGTGTGTACGTTCCAGTTGGGTCTGTAAATGGTGATGATTCTGGTGCTGGAGATGTAAAGAAAAAAGTCCACGGTCGTCCGCCTAAGCTGGGTGTGCCGAACCAAGGTGGGCTAAAGAAGGGACGTGGTCGTCCACCAAAGAGTTTGGGGGCTCAGCCACGTGGTATTCAGAGGCCCAGAGGGAGGCCCAAGAGGGATTCTTCTTCTTCTGCTGTTGTGACTGGAATGACTGCTCGAGGACAGCCAAAGAAGACGGTTGCAGCTGCTGGTGTGGTGAAGGGGTCTGGGAGGCCACGTGGAAGGCCTCCAAAGCCTAAGGATGTGGTGGCTGGAGTTGCTCAACCTGTGGCAGTTGGTGGGATTGTAGCAACTGTTTCTGTTGGGATGCCTACTGGTGCTACATTAGCGGTGGGTTCTGGAGGAGTTTCACCGGCTGCACAGAAGCGACCAGGACGACCACCAAAGGTTGGTGGTGAGGCGAAGAAACCCTTGAAGCTGCCTACTGTGAAGCCCAAGAAGCCCAGAAAGCTATCTGGAAAACCTTTGGGGCGGCCCAAGAAGGTAAAAGCATGTTTTTGTCTTATTTAGTATTTAGAGTGTTTAAAAACTTTACGTCTCGCACAAAGTTTTTGATTTCTGAATGATTGTTAAGAAATATAGTTCTCCTTTTCCAAGAGAAAAGAGTTGCAGCTAACAATTGAATGAACTTAGGCATATATGAAAACTTCAATTATGGGTGAAAACTATTAAAAGATATTTCCTTTTCTGTATAGGCAAACAAAAGAACGTTTAAGCATTAAAAAGCCAAAGCAGCAACAATAAAATAGTATTAATGGAAAGCGTTTCCATTGTATTTTATAAATCCTAACCTACAAGATTGTAGTTCATTTTTAACCTAAAAAATGAAAAATAAGATAAGGTACTCAAATGAAACTAGTTATCAATTTAAAGGGTTTTATTGTAAACCTTCAAACCACACCTAAGTATGGCATTCCCCATTTTATTTGGAATATTGATTATAGCCCCTCTTTGATTGGTTTGAATGTAAAATAATTCTCTGTTGACTAACATACTTAACAATATTAGTACGTGACAAATATAGGGCCTGTTTATAGAATGTATTTAGGAATAATGAGTTATTGAATAATATTTTTCGGAGAATTCGTGGTTAAAAAGCATGTAAACTTTATTGGTTTGTGTGTAAAATATTTTATTATATGAATGTGTGGTAGAGAATGATACTGTACAAACAATTTAAATTTTTAAAGGATCAAACTGGGGCTTAAATGCTTTGATTAAGATGATTTTCTATGTTTGCAATTCAACCAAATATTTTTTCTTGATTAAATTGTTTTTTGAGTTCCATTAAATTACCTAATGGTAATGAAGGATGTAAATTGACACAATTGCAAGAATCTTCAATATGCATTCAACCAATGAAATATTTAAATATTGTTACTCTTCCCCAAACTGACTTAAATATATCTTTTGTTCCGTGCTTGCTAGAATTTAGAATCCTTTGGTAAGAGTTAGTAATTCAAATTATTGTCTTAGAATCCTTTGGTAAGAATATTTGTAAGATACCTTTCTATTGGAATGAATGGTATATAGATTAATCCACTGTCTAATTTCTCTTTTATAAAATGTGTTTCCACGTCACATGCATAGTCATATCTGCTTTATACTTGAGTGTGAAAACCTATTTACGCTTTAGTTTTTGATTTCTTTTAGTCAAATTAACCTACTCCCAAGTCCATTTCTTGCTAAGGACTTGCTTCTCTTTTAGACTCAATTTCTTTCAATTTGGGAACAGTAAAAGCATCCTTTGCAAGTCTTAGCGCATGATAGGTTAGTTGTAAATGCCATAAATGTAAGGGATAGTCTATTGTATGTCAAACTTTGCAATGAGATGCATAGTACACTATCTAAGTTCTTTTACCAACAATCGTAGATAAGTTATTGAATGCCTTTTTTTGTGATATAGGGAGATGTAATTCACTTTTTTCCAAAACTATAGTTAATAGGAGAGGTGCAATCAAGCTCTATATCAGTGAGGACTAGGTTCGGAATTCTACCTTTTGCTCTATATTTGATCTACCTATGTTCTGTAGTCCTATTTTTGGATTAGACACTTGAGGATCCATAAGAGGTTAATTTTTCTTCCTACAATAGACGTGGAACTCATGTTGAGTTTGTTCAATTAGCGGTTGTTCCCATACCACATTTTCTTCCAATGGAAACAAGAGTTTGAACATTCAAGACCCTGGGGTGACTAATAGGTTTTGGTGAAGTTGTTAATGGATTGTAGGGGAAAATTTTAATAAATTTTCAAAAAATGATTGTCAACGGTTGTACACTCGTATTAGGATATTGTGTTTTCATTTGACACTTGTTGTCTTGTGTCGCACGTCGACACTCTCGAGCTCTCTACAATTATTATTATTTTTTAATTTTTAAAACATTATTATATGAAAATCAAAATAATGGCTGTAAAGTTCATGTCAAACTCGTTTTACATCTATTTTATGTTTTCTTTCTTTGGTAAATAATAATATATACTTTAACTCAAAGTTATATTAATATCAATGTCATGAAAATCGGACCAGATTGTTCCGATCGGTTCAACCAGGAATCGGTCCAATGCTCGGTCTGGTCTAGTCCGACTTATGATTAAAAGCCACTAGATTTAAAATCGGTAAAAAAAGCAATCAAATTAGCATATTAATCGAAAATCGGGTGACCCAGAAATGGTCTAACCGGGTATTTAAAATTATTTAAAAATTAATATTTACAACTTTTAGCCTTCATACATTGAAAGCAATGAAATGAAAGGCCCAAAAGAGTTACTTTTCCATTTATTAGCCAATTATTTATAGGATAGATCTTCATTTCATTTCTAAGGTGATTCCAATGTGGGATAGTGTAAAACACTTTTTATTCAAATTAATTTATTTTTTCACTTCCAATCCAATGCATGTGATCTTTTATTTTAATTTTATTTGAATGACACCATAAAATACTTCAAAAATATTAAGCAATTCGCCATATGACAAATAAAAATTAATTGTACCCCAAATTTAATCATTAATTGGTCTCTCTCTCTCTCTCTCTCTCTCTATCTATATATATATATATAGATTGATTAAGTTAAAAAAATTAACTTGGTCAATTTTATGGTATATAATATAATTTACTAGCGGTTCGACCCCGGTTCGACTTTTTGACCCATGACACTTTCTTTTTTTGGGTCGATTTTTAAAATGTTGATTAATATAACAAATAACTCTAATTTAAAAGATTTCACCAATAAAAATCATAGCCAAAAGATGTATTGTATTAGATAGAAATTAAAAAGTATAAAAATAAATATATACTATAAATGTACAATTTTAAAGAATTTAAATGTCAGTGTTTATGCTTCTTAGCTCATATTCTCCTTTTGAAGAATTTTTTATTTTTATTTTTATTTTTTTCCGCAAAATAAAATCATCCTTTGTAAAAAACATCTATACAATTTTTGAAATAGGATGAAAACATGAAAATTAAAAATGGGATAACATCCAAATATTTTTAGTTGAAGTTATGTAAAACGTCTAGGATGAGACAATTTTCAATACACAGAAGTGTTTGGAAATTTTAGATCTTTGTTGGAATTCGATCTATATATAAGTAGTTAGTGTTATTTCCATGCAAAGATATAGTGAACATTTCAACTTCTGATAAGTGGCAATTTTTTCTCTTAGCAATGTTTTGTTAAGAAATGTTGCAACACGGAGGTTGATGAAAATGCATTGTTCTTTTAAAATCTCCATAAATAGCATTAAATTATTCTTTACCATTACCTCTTTGATGAATTTGAATGTGTTTGCAATTAGGTGCAAATCATGATCAACCTGCTTGCATAGTCTTGCATTGTGATCATATACCTTCTCCCAAATTGAGCCCTAGTGATTATCTCATCTCTCAGCTCGGTACCAAGCCTAGCCCAAAAGAGTGGCAAGGTTATGATAAGATGGTCTACCACTGATCATTGGCTAACAATGTAACCTAATTGTCCAACCTCAACCTGTAGCATGTGAAACTCACGAATGTGTCGACCAAGGTCATGAGCTGGATTTCAGTCATAGTTTAGGTAATCTTGAATATAGATAGATTGATGATTTGCTTGATATACAATAATCTTTCTAGTGGTTTTTAGCATCCTAATCATCTGTTGTATCATCATTTAATCCTAACTATTATTTCTACATCATTAGATAGTTCATATGTATAACTGATTTTCATTTCAATTTTTTTTTTTATATTTTTTCGAAGTAAAACATGCTTTCAACTTATTTTGCAATCATCTCATCTCATATCGTAATTAATGAAAAAATAGGACATATACATGCTTGTACATAAGATTTTAAAAACTTCTTCTTACTTACCTTAGAATCGTCGGATAGTGTCGATCGAGGAGCGTTCAATACCAAGGATCATCCTTATTTCCATTTCACATCTTAAACATTTAGTTTAAAGTATCACATTGATAATGTTCGTTTCAGTTTGAAATTTGATGCTAAAAAATACTGGATACTTTTAACCTCCGCTACTTGACTTTGGTCGAGACCTCGCCATTCCTTGTATATTCCTTTTTTTTGAAAGATTATTACAAGTCTTCTCCCAAATGTACGACCATTGCTTTGATACCAAAAACTTGGAACATCACTAGAACATTCCTAATGGGTAGTTTTGGAAGGGGATATATACTTTTAAAGCTGAATGAAATAATTAAGTCTCAAATTTTAATAATAGACTATCAACATGCAGATGAATTACATAATTTCTTGATAAAACCATTGATTTACCAACCAAAATATTTGACAAAATCCATATTTATTATTATTGAATCCAATTGCTACATGTTTACTAAATGGGTACAATTACTCTATGGTTCACGAAATTTCATGTTTCAAGTATGGAAGATGGCTAACCCATAATGCTAACTTGAATCATCCTAAAATTCAATCTACACAAGTCTGGGTGACAATTCAAAAAGGAAACTGAAATAAAATAGTAGTTTTATATGGAATGATCAATATGCATAAAATATAAATTATTAAACATAATCATAAAAGTGGTTTTTAAATTAACGTAATGAGTCTTCCAAAGCCGAAATGTACCACTGAACGTCCACCTTCAGGTGACCCTTCACCCTGTATATTTAGAAAAAAGTTGATGGATTAAGTATTTCGAAAGTACTTAGTAAGATACGTGCAAGTTCATTTCATGTAGTACTACCATGGCATAATATTTCATACCACTGTAGTGTCAAGTAACAAGGGCGGAAAACTCAACTCGTATTATATCTATAGAAAATTAATCCCCATAGAACCAGCTTTATATCATATCTTGGGATCCGTCGATCAAATGAACAATCATCCATTGTGCATAGAATGTATCTTACCTTGATAAATAGATGGCTTGACTTAACTTGGATAATAGTATATCAAAAACTTTATTTGAATGCACGAAGAAGAGTCAGTTTCCTTGTTTGTCATTTTTCCCCCTCCTTTTTCCTG